TTCTCTTTATAGAGATAGTACTTTTCTCTTTATAGAGATAGTACTTTACTCTTTATAGAGATAGTACTTTTCTCTTTATAGAGATAGTACTTTTCTCTTTATAGAGATAGTACTTTTCTCTTTATAGAAATAATACTTTACTCTTCATAGAGATAGTACTGTTCTCTTTATAGAGATAGAACTTTACTCTTCATAGAGATAGTACTGTTCTCTTTATATAAATAATAATTTACTCTTTATAGAGATAGTACTTTACTCTTTATAGAGATAGTACTTTCTCTTTATAGAGATAGAACTTTTCTCTTTATAGAAATAATACTTTACTCTTTATAGAGATAGTACTTTCTCTTTATAGAGATAGTACTTTACTCTTTATAGAGATAGAACTTTTCTCTTTATAGAAATAATACTTTACTCTTCATATAGATAGTACTTTTCTCTTTATAGAAATAATACTTTACTCTTTATAGAGATAGTACTTTACTCTTTATAGCGATAGTACTTTACTCTTTATAGAGATAGTACTTTTCTCTTTATAGAAATATAATGTTTCTCTTTATAGAGATCTTACTTTTGTCTTTTTAGAGATTGTAGTTTCCTTGATGTAATTCAGTGATACCTTCTCCACCAAGTGGTCATTTCGTGGTTATTAACCAATTCTAATAAGGAGCTATTATATCGGTCTGTTCACACACACACACGCACACACCCATGCACACACACACACACGTGCACTTTGTTGCCTGAGCTCACCTACACATCCTTGTAGAGAATCTGAGCTTCTCAAGCTTCTCCAGGCCATGGTCAAACCCTACACCCCTGCCCGACCACTTAAACTTTCAGGTTCAAATTTTTTTTTCAAATGATCAAAACTATTGGCCTGGATTTGGCTCCGTAGCTCCCTGAGTCCACCCGACCAGGACAGACTTCTTCACATCGACAAACTGACTCAGTTAGAACGGACTCATCGCTGTTGGTTTGCTGCTTTTACAAACAGTTGAATTGGTTTGCGTCATAAAAATGGCAGACGTATCGACTCTTCTTCTAATGAAGACACTTAAGTTTACACAAACACTTAGAAATTAAAAAGACCCTAAGTCCTGCACAGTGAGGAAGTGTCTGTCTGTCTTTCTGTCTCTCTGTCTCCATGTCTGTCTCTCTGTCTCTCTGCCTGTCTCTGCCTGTCTGTCTCTCTCTGTCTCTCTGTCTCCTTGTCTGTCTGTCTGTCTCCCTGTCTGTCTGTCT